CTCCATTTCCCTCAATTTATCTAACAGCTTCATTGTACTAAACACCCAGTCCTTTGAATCATTTGGAATCTGGACTCCTGCTCTATCATGGACTATGGAAAAGGATAGCTCCTGTCTTATCCTACCCAAAATAATATGAAAAAGATTTGAGTGAACTCAATTTCTTCACTTTGTAGAACTGCCAGTGTCTACCATGGTAGATGCCATTATAAGTTTCAATAAGTGAATTTTGGTAGAATGGAATGATACAAATGAGGAAGTGCAAAATCTTCACCAGCTGCTTTCAAGCATGCGTTTGTTCTTCAACTTAATCACTGTCTTGTCTTCCTTGTTGGTTTAGTAAACCACCCACATGTTTATTTTCCTCTGTTTATCCTTCCTTGCTTGACTTTAATGGAATGTCCCTAAATGACAGAGGTCATGCATTTTAAAAACCTTTGTTCTACATTCAGTATCCAAAAAAGGACCAATAGGCATCATTGCTGAATAATACCAATAAACATATCTACATCCTTTAATTTCAATAGTAATTAAGTAATTAAATATGTAGGTAACATAATAGCATTATTGGCAATAATAAACTTCCCAAAATGCTAATTTGAAGCCATATCAAATTGGGATTCAACCAGAACTATATTAATGTCTATAATTAGGGTCAATGTAGACTGAAGGGTCTCCTGTGGCTGCTTGGAAGAATTAATCTCCCAGATGCAACAGATGATAACATTAAAGGCTTACACTAAGAAGAATTTGCCTGAGAATTCCATAGTCCCTGAACTAAGCTTTAAGACTGTGTTCTTACACATGTATCATCAGCAAGTCTCTTTGCAGCCCCAGTTACCTGCATACAACTCTAAATTCAGAGAAGGTTCAGCAGCTTGGGCCCCTGAAAAGGTACTTGGAAAGTTTCCCAGTTTTCATGCTGCATAAGCTGGAGGCAGTATAGTGATAATTAATAAAGTGCCAGACTGGATAATTGTAGGAACTGTGAAAGATACTAAACTGTTGTTACCAGAGGCACAGACATACCTGTGAATGTGTGAAGTTAATTTGGGTGAGGAACATCACATGAGTGTGGAGGGGGGACAAGGGAGGTGAGATTTTTCTTTAAATACTTCAAACTTTAGACAGGGAAGCTGTCTTAAAAAAAAAGTAGTCCTACTGCTGAGATAGTGCAGTTTATGAAAGCACTTTCTCCTGTACTCTTCTGTTATGTCTGGTCCTCTGTGACCTTGAGAAAAGTTTAAGAACTGTGGTATTAGAATTTTCTAATCCCTAAAGGAAGGGGATGATGACATTACCTTCTTAGCCAATTTTCAAATAACAATAAATCTTCCCTTACTGTGTAAAAATACACCTCCTGCCACTATAATGATAAGGAGGTAACTCTATGGGTCACCCTAAATTCCCCACAGATTAATTCCCCCCAGCCTCCACAGACTAATTTCTATCAAGTTGAAATATATCAATCAATGATTGAAAAAGAAAATATAAGAATGGGGATGCCTGCATCATAGTGTTGTTGTGAGCAGAAGTGAGGATTATTGAGAACTAAAAGTTGTAAGCAATTTACAGTTTATGATAGATGGTAGTTCAATGATCGCTCAATTGCTACTGTTGTTGTTTCTTGCTATCATTTTCATTATTACTGATTTTTTTTAAATATTGAAAACCTGGATTTTTGAGATGGATTTCTGACAATGATTATTCTGACCTTCTAAAGTGTTCCTGCACATGAATTGTATAGATAGATGGATGCTGGAAAAAAGCTGTCAATTTTAACATTACCATGTAAGCATGCTATCCCAGATCATAATATTATCTTGGATAATCTAAGTGAAAATTTACAAACTGTGCTATCCTAATAGTTATCTGCTGTCAACTAGGTAATCTGCATTTCAATTAAATTCTGACACTACCCAGATTTAACACAAAGCCTACGGGTTTAAGGACTCAATGATTTCCCCACTTCAGTGCTAATTCCTGAGTTCCCTGCAACTTGCATTTCTGTTCAACATGACTAAAAATTTTACGGTTCCCATGGTCCCCCTTCAAGTGTGATAATTTACTAGTATGACATAGAAAGAGCTACATTTATGATTATTGGTTTATCATAAAGGCCAGAAATGAAAAGCCAGGAGAAGGGCTAAAGAGAAGACATTCAGAAGGTTCCTAGCATAGCCTTTGTCTCTGAAAAATTGTGGTATGCTACCCTTTTGGTACATAAATATGTTTACTGACAAGAGAGCTCCTTTAAAGCTCATGAGTCAAAGATTTTTATCTAGAAAAAAAGAAAAAGAATGAAGATACTTACTTGCATACTTTTGATTGAATCATTGGTCAATTAAACTCTATCTTTATCCCTTCCACCCATTCTGACCTCCAGGTAAGGTTGGAAGTTCTAATTTTCTCTTTGGGTATCAGGTGGATGATTCCTCTGGTGGCAGGTCCCCAATCAGAAGTTTTCTGGTCCCTCACCCCTAGTCCCCACCCCTGAGTCTTCTCATTCACATCTTTGTGAGCAAAAGTACTAGTTATTTTTTTTAAAGATTCATTTATTTATGCATACAAGAACTGGGGGGTAGGCCAGAGGTGTGGGTGGGTGAGAGGATTCACCAGAGAGAGAGTGGGGAACAGAACAGGCAGATCGACTGAAATACACTGTTGAGGAGAGCAGTGGGCAAGTCTGCAGAGGTCTGCTGCACCGTGTTGGTAGCTCCCTGGCCGGAGATCAAACTGCGGACAGCTTCATAGGTTGTATCTTAATGCCTTGCGCCACCAGGGAGGCCCCCAAAGTACTAGTTATTAATAACAAAATGTTCTTGGGAAAATTCCAGAATTTTAAAAGCTCTGTGCCAGTACCCAAGGGGGAACAAGCAAATGTATTTTGCCAAATATTGATTAGTCTGTGTTTTTTATCTTTTCCTTTTAATTGTGTTTGGGGTTTCTAACTAAGAAAATTTGACTTCACCCTTTTCTGTTCTTCACTGAACAGAAACAGAAACTACCACAAGTTTCCTCTTGTGGAAACTGCCTTGACATAAGATATACTAACTAGTTTGCTTGAAATTCACATAGACCTTATATTTTGTTTGTATTTTATAAGCTTTGGTACATCAACTTGATTTGCTCACCTTGTCTTTAAATATAAAATTAAATACAATCTCTGAAATATAATCATTTCCCACTCTAATGTAGTTCTCCTTCATTTGATTTTCATTTCTTTCCACCATGAGGTCTATTCAAAGATAAAGTTATAGGGTCAAAATCTACTGGGTACAGTGTACTTTCTTTGTGTGTGTGCATGTATGCACGTATCTGTATCTGTATATATGTCTATATTATGTACTTATCAATTATATGTTTGTATTTCAGTCTGTTTCACACTAGGAATTTCCATTGAAGATATTTTGTCTTTAATATGTGTCCTTTAAATATAAATACACAGCCTGTAAGAAAACAAAAAAAAGTATAATGATAGGAAATCATGTCACCACAAAACATGTTTCTTTTCCTTTTGATTAACCTATCAAGAAAATATAAAAGCAATGTTGTTAATTAAGAATTCAGAAGAAAAAGATAAATACCACATAGTTTCACTTATATGTGGAATCTGGAGAAACTAAACAAAGCATCAGACAAAGACAAACTGCAATTCTGGCCCTTGGCAGCAAACTGTAGATCTGAAACAAACAGGAAGGGAGGAGGAGGGGGGAGGTAGTGCAGTGTTAAGTGATGAAGTATTATGGGCACTTTGATGGTGGGAAAACTAAGGGGACTGCACCTGAGTAGAAAAATCCTATACTGTAAAAAATTTAATTCAATGAATTTTTGGTGTTTTATCTCTCATAATGAAAAAACAAGCCTAGTCTTTCAGTGGTGACAGGCAGAAACTATACGCTGGCAGATATACATGTTTTATCAATGGTACTATGACTTACATTTTCTTTTTAATTGAGGTAACATTGGTTTATAATACCATATGTGATTTCAGATGTTCAAGTTCATACCACTTTAGAGGCTTATTACCACATCATACACAAAACATAGGCACCCACAGGCATCAGCAAAGTCTAGAGGGTTCCTTACCCCTTAGATCTTCACCACCCACTGCCTGAGGTATTCTCAATTTTCAGTCACATTTCTAGGGTTCACTTTTGGTTTGGTTTTATCTGGCACTCTGTTTTGTTTCTCCATATTCTATATATGAATAAATCTACTCATCATTTGTCATTCCTCTTCTGATTTATTTTACTTAGGATTATCACCTCCAGTTCCATCAGGCTGTTGCAAATGGCAAGCATTCTTTTTTTTTTTTTTTTTTTATAGCTGAATAGTATTGTGCTTATATAGCACATGTTCTCACATCTTAATTCACTCATCTGTCCTTGGGCACTCAGGTTGTTTCTATAACTTGTCTATTGTACATCTTGCTGCAATGAAAATAGGGGTGTGTATTTCCCTTTGACTTAAGGTTTTTATGTTCTTCAGGTAAATACCTGGGAGTGGAGTTGCAATATCATATGGTAGATCTATTTTTAATGTTTTGAGAAAACTCCCAAGCTTGGCGCTTTCCTTAAGGACTTAACCAGTCTACATTCCCACCAAAAGTGTGTAGTGCTTCCTCTTTCAACATATCCTCATCAACACGCCTTTCTGTTGGTCATTTTGATGTGTGCCATTCTCACAGCTGTGAGGGTCCTGTCTCCTTGTGGCTTTGGTTTACATTTCCCTGATGATAAATGATGATGAGCCTTTCTAGGTTTGCCCCCTGGCTTTCTGGCAGACATTTTTCTTAATATAATGTCTGTTATAACATCTTTAAATTTTAATATTTGTCATTATAATCATACATACTTATATATATGCATATTTTAATATAAATTAGAAATCTTGCTTCACAGTATTATGTTGCAAATTGAGATCTTTGATATTTATATGTCCAAATTAATACCTGTTTTTAAAATTTTTATAAAGATAATTGTTTCTTTTATTTCTAGGTAACTTTCAAAGCATCAAGACATTCAGTTTCACCAGATTTAAAATACGTTCTTCTGGCATATGACGTCAAACAGGTAAAGGAGTGATCTTTTTGAAAACTATTCTTTGTGATGTATTTTGATGGCATTTCCTAGTTTCATTTGATCATCTACTCACCTAGTAAAAATATGGCTAGTCCGATAGTTTAAGAGAACACTGATGACCAATACTACACAGGAGAGTTTGGAAGCATGCCTTTCTTTGCTACCAGGGACCATCTGCCATTCTGTGTTGACCCAAATTCCTCAATAGGGCAGGGTTTAGCAAATGCAATGAGTAGAGGTTTCTGACATTTCCAGGGTATCCTTATTGTGTAATTGAATGTTTTATGTATGTGTAGATTAGGGAGTTTCCAAAAAATATGCTCTGGGTGACATTGTATAACTTGAAAAATGATTGGAAAGGATTAATTCAGGTTATGGTCAATGGATTCTTTGGTGGTATTTGAGAATAAGCCCTGTGGTTGTAGAAAATTTTTAAAGTGTGGCAAAACATGAGGTTAATTCTGAAAAGAATAAAATGTCTAATTGAAATTAGTGTTTCATTATTCTATGTCATATTTAGGCACAATAAGAGTGCTCTGCATGGTTGAGTGTTCTATACTTACATATAATTTGCACTGTTAAAAAGCAAAATAAATGTTGAAAAGGCAATTCAGCAGATAAGTTTTTGTAGTGAATAAGTGATTGGGAATCATTCAAGAAAGTTTTATGTGCTTTAAGATGGACAATAAAAATTTATAGACTTAAGTCAGGAAGTCTCATATAATGCATTGAAAGCCTTTGAACTCATGAAATTTCACAGTTCATAGAACCATCTATTTGATGGCTTTAGTCTTTTGAAATATACATGTTCTAAGATTTTGGATGAGCTTATATATTTTTATTTTGACTAATTAATTACACTGAATATTCCAGGGTGATTGTAAGCAAATTCATCTTTTCCTATTACAAACCTTGACCTTTCTTTCTGCTCTGTATTATCTCTGTTAATTGATTTCGGAAATCACTTGTGATTCTAATATATATATATATATATATATATATATATATATATATATACAAAGCATTACAGCATTGGGAAAGAATTGATTCAGGTTATGGTCAATGGATTCTTTGTTGGTATTTGAGTATAAGCCTTGTGGTTGTAGAAAATTCTGAAAGTGGGAAAGTCATGAGGTTAATTCCCAAAAAGATTTCAAAATGGTATTACTTATCCACAGAATTTTAAATTAATAACAACTGACATATCATTAATGCAATCATATTTTTGTAACCACAATAATCTCTGTGGAATATCTCTGTGGAACTGGCAGAGGTGCAGACATGAAACAGAATACAGGTTCTATAAGTACATCCACACAAGTATGCCTAACTTATTTTTGAGAAAGACATAAAAACATTGATGGGTAAATAATTCTATGGGGACTACACTTGAGGGGAGGGAAAAGCAAACGTTTAAAAATGACAATGATATAAAACATATTAATAATTTTTTAAAAATTTAAAAAATAAAAGTGGCTATCAGTACTCTCAAAAAAATAGTATCAATGGGAACTTTCAACAAATGTCACTAGAGCAATTGGACATTCATTGGTAAAACAAAAAAACAAACAAAAATGCATTGCAGTCACATTGCAAAACACAAAATGAACTATGGATTAAATGTAAAATGAATCTATGAAACTTCTAGAAACAAATAGCAGAAAATCTTTGGGATTTTGGACTAGGGAAAAACTTCTTCAACTATGCATCAAAATCACAATGTATACTGTAACATCTCAGGGATATTGTGACTTTAATACCTTTAAAGTCACTGATGTTTTGGTTCCCCAGTATCTGTAAAAGTTGCCTTTGCATTATATTGTAAACTATTGTGTACAGTAACATTGTGTCTAAAAAACATTGGCCATAACTGAATTTAGAAATACATTGTGCTAAAAAAATATATCATCTAAGCCTTCAGAGAATAATATCCTTTTCCTTGTTGGATGGTTGCTACTGACTGAAGCTGGGATGGCTATGAAAATATTTTAAATTGACTCTGTTTTACAAAAGACTACTTTGCAGCTTGCCATGATGTTTAATAGCATTTTTTCCACAATAGAACTTATTTCAAAATTGGAATCTATCCTCTCAAATCACTTTCTTTTTTTATACATAGCAAGTAACTCCTGATCTGTTAGGTTTTATCATGAAATTGCAACAATTCAGTCACATTTTCAGGCACCACTTCTAATTCTAGTTGTTTTTCTATTGCTACATCTTCCTCCTCCATTGAAGTCTTGAACCACTTAGAGTCATCAGTGAATGTTTAATAACTTCAATTGGAATGTTAGTGGTGACATTTTGACCTCCTTTGAATCATAAGAATCTTAAAGGCATCTAGAATGGTGGTATTCCTTAAAAAGATTTATTTATTTATGCATACAAGAACAGAGGTACAAGCCAGAGGTGCAGGGGGTGAGAGGATTCACCAGAGACAGAGCAGGAAACAGAACAGGCAGATTGACTGAAGTACACTGCTGAGGGGAGCAGCGGGTGAGACAGGAGAGGTTTGCTGCGCCATGTAGGTATCTTCCTGGCTGGGATCGAACTCGTGCTGCAGTGGCTGTGGATAGCTCCATAGGTTGTGTCTTAACCCCTTGCATCACCAGGGAGGCCCCTAGAATGGTGGCATTTTTCCAGAAATTTTTCAATTTCCTTTAACCAGATCCATCAGAGGAATCACTACTTTTGGCAGCTATAGTCTTAAAAATGTATTTCTTAAATAATAAGACTTGAGAGTTGAAATGATTCTTTGATTTATGGGCTGAAGAATGGATGTTATATTAGCAGACAGGAAAATAATATTCTTCTCCTTGCACATTCCCATCAGAGCTTATGAAAGACCAGATACATTGTCAATGAGCGTACTCAGTTTGGAAGCAGTATTGTTTTGAGCAGTAGGTGGGCTTAAAATATGCAGCAAATCATGTACACAGATATGCTATCATCCAGTTGTTTTTTATTTTCCCTTCCACTTATAGGGCACAGGAAGAGTTAATTGAGCATAATCATTAAAGGTCCTAGGATATTTGGACCTAGGATCATAGAATTATTTTATTTTTGAATAAGCATTTACTTTAAAATCACCAGCTTCATTTGCCCCTGACATAAAAGTCAGCTTGTCCTGACTTTAAAGGCAAGTATTGTCTTTTCACTTAAACAAATGGCATCTTTCCTAATATAAGTCTACTATAAGACTGTTTATCTACATTGAAACTCTTTTTTAGTGTAGCTGCCTTCATCTGTTATCTTAGCAAGATCTTCTGGGAAACTTGATTCAGATTCAACACTTGCTGCTTCAACTTGAACTTTTATGTTTTTATTCTTCTTTCCTTAAACATCACAAACAAACCTGCTGATTTCAATTATTTCTTCTGTGGCTTCTTTTCTCAGCCTTCAGAGAATTGAATAAAATTAGTATCTTCCTCTATACTAGGCTTTGACTCAAGAGAATGTTGTGGTTGGTGTGATCTTCTGTTCAGATCACTAAACCTTTATCCATATAGCAATAAACCTTCATAGTGCTGCGTCTTAACCCCCAAAGCCCCCAGGGAGGCCCATGGACTTTGATTTGATGTGTACTCACCCATGCTATACCTTTTTTAGTATTTTGTGAAGATTTTCTCTTGAAAATTATTACTATTCTAATTTGATCATATGAAAACTATTTTCACCATGTAAATTACAATATTTGTGCTCTGTAGCATCAAATGTTTAATTTCAACAAAGTGAAAAGTTACTTTATTTTTTTAGTCAGGTTACTGATTTTCATAAATTGGGGGATTTAGGGGTATAATATGAATCCTAGCTCATTTGAGGATGTTTTATGCTTGTTGTGATGGTAATCTATAGATAGATCAAGATAGAATTTTTTTTCTTTTCCGTGTAAGATTCTCACAATGTGTCAAAGACTCTGAAAACTTTTTTTAAAAGAAATAGATATTTCTTCTGAACGATTGTTTTTTTCTTTATTTTTTTAAGATTTATTTATTTACGCATACAAGAACCGGGGGACAGGTCAAAGGTGCGGGAGGTGAGAGGATTCACCAGAGACAGAGTGGGGAACAGAACAGGCAGATAGACTGAAGTACACTGCTGAGGGGTGCAGTGGGCAAGACAGGAGAGGTGTTCTGTGCCATGTGGTTAGCTCCCTTTACTGGATGGGGATCGAACTCGTGCTGCAGAGGTTGCGGACAGCTTCATAGTGCTGTGCTAACCCCCTTGCACCACCAGGGAAGCCCATGCTCTGAAATAATAACTGTACTTACTGAAAGAGAAAACTAATAGATAAGGGAAAAATGAAGAAAAGATCATTTGAAATTGAAATGAAGGATGTCTTCTTCTAAGGAGGTATAAAATAACTGTTTAAGAAAATTGTTTACTGCTGGGGGATTGCTGAGTAGCCTTGTCATTTTCTTCCTTATTCTGTATTCTCTTTGCCTCATTATAAAAGGAGTAGTGGAATATAAATCAGCAGTCAAAAAAGATAAACTCATGCCATTTGCAGCAACATGGATGAAGATGGAAGGGATTATGCTCAATGAAATAAGCCGGAAAGGAAAAGAAAAATATTGGATGGTTTCACTTATAGTAGGAATGTAGAGGAACCAAATAAGGAATCAGGAAAAAAAAACAACTATAACAAAGTAAAAATCAAAATCAACAGGCAGTTATAGACCAAAGACATTCTGTAGGGTAGGAGGAGGGAGGACGATCAGGACAGGTGTGGGAAGAGCACAGGGACTATGATGATGGTGCACGGGTGAATTGGTGGCAGGAATTTTATGGGAAATCATACATTGTGCAGAAATGAAAGATGATATATTAAATACATATTAAAATTAATTTATTAGTTAATTAGTGAGTATAGGAATTAAACCTGGCCGCTTGGCTAAAGTAGATGGGAATGTTTTTAATTTTGTCTTTTTATGGCATTTCTACTTTTCACAATGGCAGTCCTTGCCATCTCAGTTGTGATCCTGTTTATA